AATTTCACCTACCATCTGAGATGACAGCTTTACAGTTATACTTATTTGTATCTGGACGAGAGTACTCTGCCAGGGACCATATTCATATATTTGTGAGAATCATCAAAACACCTAAAATATGACAGATTTGTTTGGAGTAATATAATTGGACTCATATAATATATGACAAAACTGTTTAGGCTTAGCCATTTTGTATGTTCTTCAATCTTGTTATAATGTATAGTAGCCTTTTATCTGTAATCTACTCTATTCTTTAAAAGTCACGAAAATTCCCAAAGTTATCTAATTTGTGATTATGAAGTGTATATTCACAAATCACAACAAAAATATTATATTATATTCACAAAATGCATTTAATGTGTCTTGCAAAGTCAGACTTGATATTTTCAACTAAATTGTCATTTCATGCATCAACTATATATAATCATGTACAAGTTACATATGATGCCCTACCTACTAAAGAGAGGAAAGAAAAAAGGAACAAAGCCTATAAGGTTCTCGGTGCTTAAATAATGTCCAACTTGATACAACAATTGTATGCTTAAAGTGTAACTTAACTTTCAAAAAAATAGAAAAATAATTTTAGCCAAGGACATTTCTTTGCCTTAAGATTTGATTATTACGATCCATGTTTATGACACATATTGTTTACGTTAGGTTTAAGTCCAAATAAATTTATAAAGCTCGTCACTTTATTCTTATTTCCAATATGAGATTTGTTTAAATTGTCATCTATACTTATTCAAGATCTTTAGAAGCTTGTTTATAATCCTGCTTGATCTGTTCTCACCAGCCCGCTATGAAAATGACGTCACTTCAGCTTTGTAACATTAATCTTCCTTATTTTAATTGGAGTTTTATTTTATTTTTTACAACAAAGCATTATATTTTAATTGGAGTATATTTCCAATTTGATATGAATATTTTGGAAGTTTCCTTATAATTTTGGAGAAGTGAAAGAGACAAAACATGAGATAGTGCAAGTAGAGTCAGCCCATTTTGTAGCTAACTACCCACCCCTTGAGAATGTCAAAGGAGCACAGTGGATTAATGGAGAGCCAAATAATAATTTAGATCCAACATATATATATATATGATTCAACCAACATGTCCTCTTTGAATCTTCCACATGAAAACATGATGTAACAAATAGTATCACAAAGTTGAAATAAAGTTTATGGTGTTGTGGTTGCCACTTTTCAATTTAAAGAGTGACCAACTTTTGGTAAAGGAACTCTCTACTCTCTAGGCAAAATGTAATCATGCCTAAGAGTAACACAATATTAGTGATAGGTGAAATTTCTAATTTTATTTCTTATTTGTGCTATCAAACTTTATCACTAACTTTTGGACTTTAATTTGTATAGCAATAAATTTACAAGGCAAGACATAATTTATGAAATAGTATATATAAAAAATATAAGTATCTGTTCTGCAAAAAATTATTTATCTTGAGAGATAAAAATTAAAAAACAATTGTAGACAAAATATAGGGTGGGGGGGAGGGGAGTGCAAGTGATCATTACACAATAATTTATACATTATGACTTATATGAAATGTCAAAACTTGAGACTATTAAATGCTAATGCTACATACAATTACAAATTAAGGTTATAGTATAACTTAACAAGGTACAAAAGTGTAATTTTTTAAAGCATAAAGTAGAAAGCTATTCTATTAATCTTTAACACCCTAGCTGCCCGGCCCCTTCTCTTTCCTATTCCATTTTTGTAAAAGACCTAGGTTCTTTTTCACTTTGCTCAATTTTAATTAGTCCCTTTTTTTATTTGTAAAAATCAAGAAAAAAGTATTTTAAATTTATTATATCCTTAATTATTTAGAGAGTTAATATTTTTGAAAAAAAGTAAAATCTTTTAATGAGTAAATTTATTTTGTGATTCTATCAATTAATATGGATAAAATGATAAATTTATGATGTCAATTTTTTTAATATGCATGTCAAATAAAAATGGACAAGTATAACTTTTTGAAGTTCTAAGAGCAGGCTATAAATTGAGAAAAATACGTACTCGTACCAAACATATATTTACTCTCAAGTTTGAAACAGGTAATTATTTAACCTACGTTGGTTTAAATAAAATATATTTCACTTAGTTACTAAAATATAAAAGGGGCAAATTTACGTTCATTTGTTTGGTGTAAACACAAGTCCAACTAAAAGGTATATGGGAGTAAAATTGGACCACTTTGATCACCTTATCTTAGAAACTAAAATGGATGATATGAGTGTATTGTTAATTAGATATGCATTTTAAATATTTGTAAAAAATTTAAAAAACCAATTTTTTTTAAAAAAATATGTTTCTTTAAAATAAAAAAGATAAATTTTCGTGAAAGCAGAAAAAATAAATTCTTACAAATAACATTTTATATTGATTGTATATCCAAACTATCACTTCTTCTTAACCACACCTACATAATCCCATCCCCACCACACTACCCTTATAACCCCACCCCATCCCCAAAAATAGTGTTTGCCTAGATATATACAAATATTTGGATGATAGAGGTTCATTCAAATAAGTACTATATATCTTATATATCTAGTGATGTAATTTCATTCCATGCGATATTTAATCACATCATATTCATAATTCCTTTAAAAGGGGTAGGCAAACATAAGAATCAAGAGTTAAAATTTTCACGAGATATATGATTACAAAAATGAAATAGAGAATCAAATATATATGATGTTGAATCATTATTCTTCTCCATGAAGAGAAGATCCATCCAAGTATGAATTTTTTTTTTTGATAATATAATAACTGATATGAGACGAAAGAAGTAATCATTAAGGACATTTAAGAATGTGATTCCACTTCTCTTGATTCAAGTATATATGCAAAGTTTTGAAACTTTGAGTTGATTGGCTAATTTTCCCTTTTCAACTAAGTTTAAAAAATAAATTTTATTTTATTTTCTTATCAAGGCGTAATTGATTCTTACTTTGGACTAATTAATGTGTGGAACACGATGGAGAACCATAAAGTAGAGGTAAACAAATAGTGTTATCGTAATAAAAAATGATTATCATTAGCCTATGATTAGATTCCTAATTCGTACTTAAAAGTAGAAATATTAACTATTAATTCATAACCTAAGGATTTAAGTCCATTCAAAAGTGATGAGTATACCTAGCTAAAAGTATATTAAAGTAGAATATAGTTTAATTTATCTTAATCTGACCCATTATTTTAACATTTTGATGCAATAGGTTCATTTGATTGAATTAAATATCTAACATAGGTGTGTACGAAATTATATGTCTAATATCCTACCAAGTATAATATGTCCAATAAGAAAATAAACAAACATATCATTCAACATATCTTATGATCTAAGTTAAATCTATTTATAATATAAACTTTAATGATAATTATTTATATCTTAATTAAAATGTTCTTTTTTTAAAACCACTGATGTGTCCAAAGGGATTCAAATAATACGATTATAACAATATTTTAATACCATTAAAGTGTCTATTCAATTTTTTTTATGTAAATGAAATTAGTTAATGATCTAGAGGTGCAATTATATGCATGCACCACTAAACAAGAGTAAAAAAAAATGTATTAAATGAGGAATTAATCTCTATTTATTACGTAAGATCCAATTTAGATAGTAAATCTGTCATAATTGCCACCACCCACTCTCCTCAACTAAAATTACTATTATCGTGAATAATCATAATCAAATATTACCACCATAAAAATTACCTTTTATCTTTATCACCATCAACCACAATTATCATTATTAACTATTAATGATAAATAGGGATCACTCAACATAATTGAAGGTCTAAAGTAAAATTTTAGTTATACAGCTAAAATCTAAATAAACTTTATATATATTTATTTATTTTTATAAATTTCTAGACGTAAATAATATCTTTTTTATAAATATTTTTTCTAGAGAATTATTATATGAATTGTTAACATAATTCTATAAGTAATAAGTTGATGAAATTTAAAGAGAAAAGAGTTTGAAAAATATTTTAACTTTGGCCAAAATTATTATTGCGATACCAAACTTTATGGATGACCTTTTACCCAATTAGCTATTTAATTAATAGCGTATTTTAAAGGTATATATGTATCCACATAGACACATTACTATTTATAATTATATAATATTTTTTATATCCACATAAACATATATATACCTTTAAAATACACTATTGAAAAGTACATGGAGGTAAAATGTCCTTTCCAAAGTTTTAGTACCGTACCTCAAAGTTCAGATATATTTCAAACATTCTTTCCAAATTTAAATAAAGATAAGAGTTAGAATCATAGAATTTAATTCAAAAAATTAATAGCTTGATATATCCTACTTTAATACAAAAAAATTATGAAAAAATAAAAAAAATTATAGATTACTTTGATCAATATTTTTCGACTATCAATTCATGTTTTTTTTTTTTTTACAAAGATTGCTCTTACCACCAAAAGATTTGAAGAAAGAGAGTACAAAAAGAGTTAAACGGGATTAAACCGAAGAAAATGTAAGCATGAAAATCAATGTTTTCTTGATTTTTTCTATTTTAATGGGGTAAGAATTAAAATTTTATGTATATATATATTAAAAATGTACTCTTTTTCTTTTTCATTATAAATAATTAATTTTCCTAGTGAAAAAATGAATGCATAATTTTTTTGTTTTTGTAATTTAAGAGACCCATAAATTGAGTGCCCAAGGCATTAACCTTAAATTTTATAGGCAAGAGCCGTCATTATCGATCATCACCATTATTAACATTTTATATTCATCATCACCTTAAAAAGTAAACGTGAATGACTGCTTCATTTTAATTTATTTGTATTATTTCCTTAATTCATTTTAAAATGTCTTGTATTTCTTTTTGATTATTTTTCAACTTTTTCAGTACATATTAATTATTTCTTTTGTTTAAATTTCAACTTAAAAAAAAGAGGCAAATAGTTGTAATGTCAAAAAAGCGAGCAAGGAAATACATTATTTACACACTTGTGCCACTTTAGCTATAGACTGCTACTAATAGGCACTAAGCACTGCACTTGTAAGAGAGAGAGAGAAAGTGGTAGCTGAGGAGGAGGAGGCGGAGCACAAGTGCTACTCCTACGTCGAAAGTTTTTCCGCTTTTCCCTTTTTCTCCTTCTATTTAATCCAAAACATTCTCTCTTCTTCTTCCTGAATGTATGAACAACTGGATTCCTACTTAATTTTCCCTCTGTTTACACTGATTTCTTCTCAGTGTTGGTGAGTTTTCTCATTTCAATTTATGATTATGCTTATCATTTCTGCATATTAATTATTTTGATTTTACAGTGACCTTCGTTGTCGGTTTTCCCGAGAAAGTTTTATTTTCTCGGCGGATACGCCTTTCTAATATGGATTTGATTTGATGGTCAAATTGGTGGTGTATTTTGTTGTTAAATCAGGACCGTTAAATTCTGTGGTTCGAAGACGTGATGGAGACCGATGCTGCCAAAGTTTGCTACTCTCGCAAATTCCGTTTTTACCCCGTCCCCCACCAGATTCTGTTTTTTCTTTTTCTTTTTAGTCGTAATAACTTTTCAAATTCCTTTTTTACCCCCTCCCCGCAGATTCTGTTTACCTCAAATTACTCTACTTTGGCTTTAAAACAAGAATTATCTCACTCAAATCCTTCAGTTTCTAATAAATAAATGTGCTTTCAACTTGACTTTTAATCAACTTGCTTGGTTTTCTAAAGTGAAATATCTTTGTATATAATGAAATGAAGAGTATATTTTTGCTTTTAGTAGAGTAATTCAAGGAAAAGTAGTTAACTATTCCTGAATTCCTTTTACTTATATACCAAGTTTCTAGGAAGCCAAAAAGTGTTTTTTTTAGAAAGTTGGGTTGCTTGACCAAGCTTTTAGAGAAATATTATTATGTTTTTGAGTAGTAGTAGCAAAATCTGTTTTTCAGAAGTTTAAAATCTATTTTTAAAATGTTTAACCTTTTTAATTTTATTTCTATACTATTTCTAAAGCAATTTATGCAAAAATTCAAACAGACAAGTTTCTTGAGATCTTAAGCAATTGATGACCTATCAATAAGAGATCACATTTGAGCTTAAAAATATTGTACTCTACAGTTGAGCACTTTATGAGGACCTGGGGGTTTAAGCCCAGAAGCTTACGTTGTTTCATCATTATTCTTGCAATTCTGCTTTGAATTTGATCTATTGTCCTCGACAAGTTGGTAATCAGAGAAATCATAGAACTAAAAACTTTCAACTGTATTAATCTTGTTAGGTAAAAGATATCGAAGAATGGCTTTAGATTATGAATTTGTGTTGCTTTCTCCTTAATCTTAGGCTGCATTTTGACTTTTCATTCGTAGAATCTAGATTGACTATATTCTACCATCATGTGAAGGTTTGATGCACTTGAGCCGAGGGTCTTCTGGAAACAACCCCCCTACCTCCACGAGGTAGTGGTAAGGTCTGCGTACAATATACCCTCTCCAGATGCCACTTAGTGGTAGTTCAGTGTGTATGTTGTTGTTGTTGTTGTATGTGAAGCTTACCAAGAAAATTGTGAATGGGATCGGTTCTCTCATCAGGTTCTGAACTGTTGAGTAGTACAACCATTTGTTTCGTCCTCTATGCATACTTTGATAAACCAGCACCTTTAATTGCTTTACCGGAAATCTAGCTAGAAAAGTACTTCGTTTTATTGCATTTCATTTTCAAGGCCCTGCTACTTACAGCCACATACATTTGCTCACGCATTTATTCTTTCATCTTGGCAGGTAAAATGCTGGTTTGATTTGTTATCATTGTCATGATGGATGACCAGGCCAGTCAGCTGCTATAGAGAAAAATTGGCTACTTTCGATGTAAAGGAAAAACGGGAAGTATCTTTGTTGACTACAGGAGTGTTGTTCATATGGCAAGGAGTTATGGGCCTTACTTTGATCCTGAATACGAGACCTTAAGTATCAGAATAAATCCTCCAAGGTGGAGCTTTTCTACTTTTAGCTTTTGCCATATCCACTTCTTCCCTTCATTATGTTTTTATTTATTTTCATTGGCCTGCCTAGATATTTATTAACTCTGGCAGCATCACAGTTCTGATTCCCATTTAAAATGTCACTTCAACCAAGATATGGTAACCTGTCAGTTTTCTTTGAACCAATGGAAAAATACTATGGATGTCAATTGAATTGCTTCATATTTAACACCTCATCTTTTTTCATGTGGTTTTACTAATGATTATATGATGCTATTAGGGTATCTGTGGACAATGCGACTTGCAGGGATTGTACTCTAGTGAAGGTAATATTTTCAACCTTAAGAATATTGAGTGATGTAGCTTTTCCTAGTTTTTATTTCAAGATGCGGAAGAACTTTTTTATGAGATGAAGCTCTCTTGCCACAGTTCCATAAGCTCTTTAGATTACAATGATAACTCTTGACAGATTAGTGTGTCTGGTCATCTCAAGCTATCCTCCTTACATCACTAGAAGGCTATATTAAATCATGTAAATACTTGTACTTCTGTAGGCTTAAGAAGAAAATATTTTTCTATTAATTGAATTAACTTTGTACAAGTGTCACAAATTTATACAAAATGTGTCACACGAAAAAGGGTAACAATGTCTTGACTCAAGAAGATCCCTTATTTTGATGAATTTTCTGTTTTAACTATATTCCTAAAATATCCACCCATATCTCCTATATATGAGATCATAATCTTTTTCTTTAATCTCAACACTCCCCTCAAGTTGGTGCATAGATATCAATCATTCCTAACTTGCTTAAGATTCAAACTGGGGCTTTAATATCTCCTAATGAAATGTCGGCCCTTTGTTGGGAAGTTGGAACAGCAGGCATGTAAATTTCCATTTCTTCAATAAAATGTCTGTTTACCTCCAACCTTTTTTGTTCTATCATGTCGAACTAGGCTGTTAGCAATGTTGATCGTTGCTTTGTCATCTCCATATAGTCTCATAGGCATTGTTACAGGTCTTCTCAACTCCTTCAAAATTCTCATGAGCCAAATTATGTCACATACTACATTGGCCATGGCACGGAATTCTGTTTCTGCTGGGCGGTCCATATTCTGTTTTTGGCTCCTCCAGGTTACTTGATCATCCCATACATTGGTACAATATCTAGAGGTAGACCTTTTGTCTCTGATAAAACCTTCCCAATCAGCATTTAGTATAAGCTTCAATACTTTGATGCTCATATTCCCAATGAATTGTCTCTAGTTGCTCTTCAAGAGGTGCATAATTTGACTTACTAAACTTACTACAAAAGTTATATTTGGTCTTGAATGTGATAAATAGCTAAGCTTATATGACTTTTCAAGCTTATGGTGCAGTAGTATTTGAACATTGGCTGATCGTAACTTTTCTTGAATAATTTTTAATAGTTTCTACTAAGCTGAATGGTTATAAAAGTACCCACTGAGATTTTCATGTTTTTCCTCAGGTTGACAGTATCAACAAACCTGGAATACTGCTGGAAGTGGTGCAAATCCTATCAGACCTCGATCTTGTAATTACCAAAGCCTACATATCCTCTGATGGTGGGTGGTTCATGGATGGTAAGTATATTATTTCTTGTTAGTATTTTCAGGTAAACAAGGCATGTCCAAATATTTTTGCTTGAGGTTGTCTGGTCTTATTTGAGTTCATTTATAACCTCTTTTAGTTGCAATTCTCACAGCTACTCTAGGGGATTGTATATTAGGGGCGGAAATAGGTATAAGTAAGTGAGGTCAATTGAATTCCCTTCCTCAAAATATGATACAATGCAAAATAGGGCTAAACAAATGCTTTTGGCTGTATAAACTAGTGAAATTCCCTTGACATAATGGAAGATTCCAGTGTAGTGAAGGGAATGCACAAGTTGGTTTGAGCAAAGGCAGATCCAAAATTTGAAGTTTATGGGTTCTAAATTTGGAGTTTCTGGTTTCTTTAGTTTATTGTTTGTACATATTCTGTGCATTTCTGACAAATAGTTCTACCCCTGGTTTTAGGTCATAGGTTCAAGTCTCAAGTATGACATCTAGTATCTTTTTGAATTCCCTTGTATAAATTTCATCTTTCGCTGCTGCTGGATATGGATCATGTTCTACACTATTTCATTACAAATTCAGACTGCTATCCAAACAAATACCGAAATTCATGTTTCTTTGACAGTGGTGGTTTAGATTTACTAGTATGTTTCAGTTCCTCAAATGAAAAAAATAGTAGGTTTTAATTGGCTGCCATGTATACCTTTTTCACCTTGCCAGCTTTTGGGCCATTTGAATAAGTATCAACCTTCTGCGCTGTTCCTCCGTTAACACTCTTTTCTAGTTCTGTCCTATCTGCATATTCTAAAGACTTGGGGAACTCAGCTGGGAAAACTTTTTCTAATTTCATTTCTTTTGAACTTTAACAGTATTTCATGTTACTGATCAACATGGAAACAAGGTTACAGACAACAATACTATTGGTCATATAGAAAAGGTAAAGTATCCCTATTTTCTCACCTTTTAATTTCATATTTTTATGGTCTATACAAAATTAATGCCAGGAAAGGCAACAATTACTGTGGCAGTTCCTAGTATGATAGTATACAAAAGAAAGGAAAGAGGGATAAACGTATACATAGCATCTTCAGAATTTGCTGTAAAATCATGCAACTCCAAGCTAGCTATCCATTGCAGTTGATCTTATATAACTTTGGATTTATATGCAGGCATTGCCAATGACATTTCTACTTAAGCATTTTATTGCACCTAGCATTATAAGAGTTTTATTTTTGGGACTGACTATTCAGAACACAGCAAAAGTCAAGCAATCATTCAGATATTCTTGGTGACTAAAAGTTGTTATAAAATAGCTGCTAATTTGTTAGATAGAGTACCCAGTTCCACAAACCTAATAGTTCCTGATAATGTGTTTGGATTTGCCTATTTTACTTGTGTGTTACATCATGAGATCATTGTTATTGTAATCCTCACCTTTACTGCAGTTTATTTTCCTTTTTCTTCACATGAGTTATAGTTGGGCTTTCCTGAAATTTGTATTCAGGATCATATTTTACCTAGTGACTACCCAGTAAGATCATATTCATGCGGAGAAAATGTAGCTGTGTCATCTAGGTGACTGAAACTGTAAAATAGCTGCCTGAGAAAAAGACATTTTTATCCAACTTATTAATTATTCATTGAATTTCTTACATTAGGCTCTAGGACCTGAAGGTTACACATCAGGCATATTGAAGACATGTCCAGGTAGAAAGGTAGGAGAGAACTCTATGGGTGATTATACCACCATTGAGCTAATAGGCAGGGATCGTCCAGGCCTTCTATCAGAAATTTCTGCTGTTCTAGCCAATCTTCATTTTAATGTCGCTGCTGCCGAGGTTTGGACTCATAATGGGCGCATAGCATGTGTCCTTTATATCAATGATAATTGTTCATCCCTTGATGAGGATGAAGAATCCAGATTGTGTGTCATGGAAGAGCAACTCAATAACATTCTTCGTGGGCGTGAGGATGATGAGAGTGGGGCTCATGCTACTTTCTCAGTTGGTAGTACTCATGTTGATCGGAGGCTTCATCAGATGTTTTTTGCTGATAGGGACTACGAAGGTGGTTGTCTCGAAATGGAGATAGAATACCCTCCTAACTCCAAACCAGACGTCAGAATTGAAAGCTGTGTCGAGAAAGGGTACTCAGTGGTCAGTGTAAGTTGCAAGGATAGAGCAAAGCTTATGTTTGACATTGTATGCACCCTCACAGACATGCAGTATGCTGTTTTCCATGCCACTATCTCATCAGATGGTCCCTCTGCATCACAGGTAATCTGATTATGTAATTTTGATGACTGCTAAGATAACCTTACATACGGAGGATAGATCATTTATCTTTCATTTCTGCTTAACAATGTCAACATTGCTCCAGCCTCTACACTTTGAAAAGGGACGTGATCTGTATGGTCTTTAGTACCGTCGTCATCTCATTAAATAAAAGTTACATTAATATAGAGGGAGCTAAACTTAATTTCAAATCTTTCAGCTAGAGCAGAAAGATCAGAGCTGATAGATCAATGATTTGGTTACCTTGTTTGAGTTTCTGAAACTACCCCAATAAAATCCTCATTCCCCGTTTCTTCCTTAGTTGTAAATTCGTCCATCACCTTTGAAATTTTGGTTACTGATTAGTGTAATTCTTAATCGTATTCCCATAGGAGATGAAAGAAATAAAGGTATTAATCCCCCTTCCCAAAAAGAAGAAGAAGTTTAGTTTAGCTTATGCTCTAGTACCTAAGAATCCGTTCACTTCCTAAGTGGCTCTATGTTGTAATCACTGATAGATTTTCATCAGGCTTTGATTCCAATATGTAATATAGACAACTCTTTTTATAGGAATATTTTATTCGCCACATGGATGGTTGCACTCTGGAATCTGAAGCGGAGAAGGAGAAGGTTGTGAAGTGTATTGAAGCTGCTATTCGGCGAAGGATAAGTGAGGTAAGGGAGATTATCTACTCCTCTTAACTTGTCTTGAATGTTTCTGAAGATTGCGATCTGCCAGCTCTAATGTTACATCTCTTCCCATCATTTCATTTAGTTGAGGCATAAGAAAACCCAATGATTGATATTTCTTGTCTCTTTATGACATTGCCAGTTTCTCATCCTTTAGACAAACAAATAGAATTTATGGAACCAATGCTCCTAACATTATTTCATGGTCACTTTTTGTTGTTGGAATTATTTGGGAATCACCATTTTTTTTAGATCCAAACAGGCTCTTGCTCGCCCCAATTTTGAACTACTTTGTCAAATAGACAAAAGTCTAACTTATAAATAATTCATAGCTAAGGTGAAGAATCAAGAAATATTGCATATATAAACTTTCATTCTGTATTTCTGTGATTGACTGGTATGATGAATCCAAAAAGTAACGTAAAGCTAATTTTTTTCTAAGCAGTCCATGAACATGTGCAATTTTTTGTTTTGCTATTGGGATGAATGTGTAAGTTTGATAGTAGGATGTGGTCATCTAATATTATACTTTGACACATTAACCATTGTACTATTCTATTTGTGACTTGAACTTCAAGTGTTATGATTGCCCTCCAAGGGCGCATTCATATGTTACTTCAATCTATAACTTTATGGGATGCATGAACCTTCCCAAAACCCTCAGAATTCTAATGCCACCAGGTGGAATGTAAATTATATTCCTTTTATATGCAGGGCTTCAGCTTTGAGTTGTGTGCCAAGGACCGAGTTGGCTTACTTTCTGAAGTTACGAGAGTCCTACGAGAAAATGGGCTATCAGTGACTAGAGCTGGTGTTACAACTATTGGGGAGAAAGCAAAGAATTTCTTCTACGTAAGAGATGCGTCTGGAAACCCTGTAGAGATGAAGACGATTGAAAGACTGCGTGAAGAAATTGGACAGACAATGATGCTTAACGTGAAGAAAGACCCAACATCTGCAAAGGCACCTGAAACTGGTGGTCTGGCTAAGACAAGCTTTTTCTTCGGAGGCTTACTGGAAAAGTTCCGAACCTGAAACTTCATCTACAACTACTTGTATAGCAGAATAAAGCACTTATATATAAATGTGGCAAGGTTTCCCTGTAAAAACCTGTAGATACATTGGACAATTATCCTTGTCGGGATAAACAAGGGAAAAAAAGAAGTAGTCCCTTTCAGTCTTATTCTATGCTGAAGTTTGGAAGATTACGCGATGACCGTGTGTTGTTCTTGCACAATAAAAGATGAAGATCTATACATTGCTGATGACACTATGACTTTGCATTGGAGCTTTCGTCAAGAAATGCAGGTATTGAAGATTGAACACCAATACGTTATAGTGTTATACGTTGTGTATCAGCTAGTTTGGTTCGACAATGATCGAGCTGCTAGCATTGTTTTGATTAATAGGTACTTCAGTTTAATACTAGCCGGTTGAGTTTTTCCTCATTTGGGAATAGCTTGTACTATGTAATATCATTGATTTGCATGTAAGGATGAGAATTTAAGTAACGTTGAATTCCATTTTTCTCTCAAGGAAAAGTATAGTGTGTTCTTTTACCCATTCTTTTAGGGAATTTGTTTTTTATCTTAGTTATAGGAGGACACTACAGGTGGTTAACTAATTTTACGCTGAGTTTGTTTGTTCTTTTCATTACTGCCCTCGATCTGTTTTCTGTTTAATTTTTCTGTGCTACACGCGTTCATATAAAACATATAATCACTAAATTAGTTCTTACTTCTTTGGCAGTGTTGTGGATTTAATTTGAGCAGAATGACAACTAACACCGAGATCGAGATCTATTCGCGACATGAAATTGTTACTGATCATATTTTGTCAAGGTTGCCTGTGGCGATTCAAATGTGTATGCAAAATCTGGAACGACCTTATCAATAGCTCGAGTTTCGTGGAAAAACACTTCAACAGTGAGAGTAATCGTCTCCGTCTATTGATTATCAAGTTTGGTCTTAACTACCAGAAAGTCCCGTGTGTAAGACCTTTCGATACGTACTTGCTCCCTGATAAAATATTCAGCGGATGTGTCCCTGCTCATAAGCTGATTTATCACGTTGGTGATATCTGGTGCATTTATGGTCCAATTGATGGATTGTTGTTATTAGAGAAAGGAAATTACATAGACGATGGACGATTTGGCTGGTGGAACCCTGCAACGAAAGAGTGTAGGCTTATACCTCATGTTTTTTTCGAGGTAGAAGAAGGTTTGGAAGACAATGATCGTAGAATAGGAATAGGAATAGACTTAGCTACTCATGACTACAAAATCATTTGGGTAAGAACGTATTGGAATGACTATGAGAGTGACATTTTCCCCAAGGTTTATGCAGCTGTCTATTCGACGAAAAACAACTCATGGAAGCACTTGGACCCTAATTTCTCACACGAATGTCAAATATGCAGCTCCCATAATTGCACCTACAAGAATGGTACGTACTATTGGATTAGTACTAGCAAGAAGTGTATCGCGGAAGGGATAAACGTGTATTTTATACGTACATTTGATTTTTCAACTGATTTGTTTGGGAGATTTGAAGGACCACCAATTCCAGGTGAACATTGGGTAACTTTATTTTTACGAGGTGGTTCAATTGCAACAATGTCTAGTAAAGATGTTACACAAGCAATGGTAGCTTTTTATGATATTTGGGTAAATATTCAAGGAAATCATTGGATTAAAGTTTATACAGTGAATCCACCAATAACAGATCATACGTGTATTGGAATGTGGGAGTATGATAAGTTTATTTATGAACTAACACAGAGTTGTAAAGTGTTGTTTTATGATCAAACATCTAAACAAGTTACAAGTCTTGGATTTGATTTTGTTGATTTAGGCTTTGGCTCATGTTGGGCTTTGAGTTATAAAGAGAGCTTATTTCCGATAAGGAAGGAAAAACCGGGCGAGAAGGATAATATTGACTACTTTATGGTAGATTATTAAACAAGCATGAGGAATGAGTTAGAAGTTCGAAAGAAGTACTTTTTCCTATGATTTTGTCATTTATATGATTGAGTTGTCAAAACTGTCCTATATCTAAACGAGATTCTTTTTTATTAAAGAACCTCTTTCTAGTTGCTGTGGAACAATTCGGAAATTCTCAAAATATGTTACATACCGCTTAAAGAATCAACTCAAACATGTTTTTTCAGGAGAAATGTGAGGACGACATTTTAAATGTAGCAATTGAATAGTTGAATTGAACATTTGCATACATTTCTTCTTCTTGTTGTTTATAAGGAAGTACTGAAATATTTAGAGCTTGAGAACTTTTTAATCAAATCTCTTAGCAATTGACAAACGATAGTATTTGGTTACAAATAGTTGGTCCGCTTCGAGGTGTGTTCGGTTAAATAATTGGTAATATTTCAAGTAGAAAACAAACACCTGATGATAGACTATTCGTTTACTTCCCAAAACAAATTAAAAAATGCCACATGTCAATTCTTTCTCTATTAATTCATAATTTCATTTTAAAATACATCATCTTCCTCAAACTCTTTTAAAAAAATCTTCGTCTCTCTTGAACAAATCATCCCAAAAGAAGAAGAAATTCAAATGCAATTTAGATAATTTCAAAGCCATCAGGTTTATGATTGTGACCGATGGAAGTTTAAATTAAGTTCATATTATTGAAGTTGAAAACTCAATTTTTCGAGTCGGGTTAAACCATCATCTTATTAATATTTACATTAAAATATTTAATTAAAAAAGAGTCCGCTTCAAACGCATACTCAAAATCTGGGATTGATGAGAAAACAGGACAAAATGGTCTATTTACAAAGGTATTTAAAAGTTTTCTGGGTTAATAGGATATTTGCTTAGTTAAAGTGTTTTTTAAAAATTCAAGACAACTTCAAGTGTCACTTTATGTTTTTTCTCGATAAATCAGAAGAGTATTATTTCTATTGAGTGCGTTGCAGTCACTTTGAATGTTATATTCGTTAGTACAAAGGTAAAAAATTCCTTGCTATAGTGATATCCTCTTGACCCGTAATTTTACACATATTTAGAATGATTTCTACGTAAAATTCTTGGTATCGTTATTTTTTCATTTTATTTTCATTATTTTGACCGATATACATATTTTTTTATTAATCCGCATTTTCGCAACAGTGTTTTGTATGGTCACTAGTTAAATTTAAGTGGCACAAACTTATAAATCGTGCCAAATTTAAGAAGCTATCTTGTTATATTTCGAAAGAATGGAATACATTGTAAGTGTAGATCATTGTGATCAAAAATTGCAATTACTAAATCCTTTTACCCAGAGGGTTACTCGCGAGAAGATATTATTGCTGATCGTATTTTAACGCGATTATCTGTTAAATCACTGCTGAGATATAAAGGTGTGTGTAAAAGTTGGTGCGATCTGATCAAAAGCTCGAGTTTTATCAGAAAGCACTTTGATAATGAGAGTAGTGGTACTCGTAAAATGGTAGTTAAGTTTGGTGTTGACTATGAGACAAGCCCTTTGCCTACAAGGCAAGTTCATTTGTATTTGCTCCCTCGTAATTTAATTCCAGGATGTGTACCTACACATCAACGGATTTATTACTGTGACGGTGTTAATGATTTCAGACACATGGTTGGTCCGATCAATGGAATATTCTTACTAGAGAATGGACATTTTCTGAATGTTCGATTTGCCTGGTGGAATCCTGCGATTAAACAGTGTAGGGTTGTTCCGAAGATTGAATTTGATGTAGAAGAAAATTTTGAGGACTGCAGCAGATCACTTGGAATAGGTTTTGACAGAACGAATCAGGACTACAAGATTATCTATTTTCGAACATTTAGCATTAAATTTACATCAGTTGTTTATCCTAAGATATTTACTGCTCTGTACTCGACTAAAAATGACTCGTGGAAGTTCTTGGAACCGAATTTCTCTCATGAATCTCAAATATCTTTTTCGCAAAATTTCACTTGCCAGAATGGAGTTTATTATTGGCTGGCCAGCAGTAATTGGAGTTGTGACAAAGAAAATGTGTACAGTGTTTTGTCATTTGATTTTGAAACTGAACTTTTCAAGATAATGCCAGGGCCACCTATTCCAGGTGAATACTGGGCTAGATTAGTGTTACGCGGTAGATCAATTGCAGTTATGGCTAGTAAAGACGTGTCGATAGCTATGACAGCAGAATATGATATATGGCAAAGGATTGGAGAGAATAATTGGATCAAAGTATACACGGTGAATCCTCCTATACCCTATCATATGCCTAATGGGATGTGGGAGTATGATAAGTATGTTTACGAACTAACACAAAGTTACAGGTTGATGTGGTATGATCAGAACGCTAAACAAGCTACGAGTCTTGGATTTGATTTTTTTATACGTCTACTATCTGGTTTTGCTTGGCCTTTAGATTATAAGGAGAGTTTATTTCCAATTCCAGTAAGGACAGAAAATCCTACTGAGAAGGATACTGCTGAATATTTCTTCAGAAAGTATTAAACGTACTCAAAAGATTATTGACACTTGAAATCTGAATGGTGACATATAAAGAAAGAACAACTTATTAGATTGACATTGTAATTGTAGCAATTAGTTTTAGTTTTTCTGTTCTTATATTTTTCTAATCCAAGTAACTGAGTGTGCTTAGCATCAGAAAACACTGAAATTTTTAGCTACTTGAGAATTCTTATTACCTCTGAAAAACAGTCAAATGATGTTGATTTAATACCGCCTTGCAACCGCACGTCGTCTTAGAAATAATATAGAGAGTCGATCCATGAAAAACATCTCTACCTCCACGAGTTTTACCATTATTCGAAATAGACAAAGAAATATATTACTCATCGACTGTGATGTGTTGAACGAAAAAGTAAAGAAATTTAAGAGGAAATGATCTTTTCAAATCTCTTATGTGTAAAATATCAAACTAAATACAAATATGTAAAATGCTACAAAATACCAAATATCTCGAAATATAATGTGATTGAACATATGTTACAGATAATGAACTGGTTCATAAACATACTGGGATGAACCATACCTTCTTGTATTCAATTACGTTCAGCCTCAGCTTGATCAACTCATTTTGGATTTCGAGAATCAAACAAATTTTTCTTATAAGGGGAAACAGAATGACTTACAGTACTAGTAAATTACTAATTCTATCTGTCATGATTTTTAACCATGAGGGAAAAATTACTAATTCTATCTGTCATTATTTTTAACTATGAGGGAAAAACACAATACTATGTTACATGTTACATGCAGTCGCGGTGTGTGTATGTTAAATCCTAACAATGTATATACATTCACTCACTTAACCCTATAATAACGTTACTCAAGTCACCCCACCAGACATAAACCGAGTATCGGGCTTCTACTTAGCTGTTGTTTTCCTATAATGTTTGACAAGAAACTCCACAAGTCAATGAGTAACTATAACTAATTTTTTTCGTGCCTATAGCTTGACCTTCGCCTTTTTCTACCTGTACAGATGTTCTGTTAGCCAAAACTTAATCTCACCCATTCTTTTAGGAAATGAGTGGAAATTATTTTTGTCTATGTTGCAGGAAGAAGTCACTGGTTTTGTTAGCTAATTTTACGCATATAATGTCATTTTCTTATTACATGTCCAATCCCCTATATTAAAGGTTTTTTTTTTTTTTTATTGTATATATAAGGAGAAGATATGTTTAAAAATAATTCAGGTTCAAGTCTTTTTTGATCTGTTTTCTTGTTGGATTTTAGTGAGCAAATATAAAACTTCTTGATTTAAGCAACCACCAATTATAAGGTTAGGTAAGTTGATTTTAAGTTTTTAACTTTGTTACAATTGTTCTATATTTCTCCATCTGTTTCATTTTGTCTGTCTTACCTTTCTTTAAAGAGTATTTTCTTTTTTTTAATTACAACTCTTTTAAAAATACAAAATTAGAGAACATTTTGATATGTTTTATTTTGAAGTCTTTTTTTCCTTTTCTAAAGGAAGCTCTGTTTCCATTTGCGTTGCTCTGTCTCAACTATTTTTTTGTTCAAAACAGAGTATTTACTTATATTGTAATCACAAATTGAAATTATAAATCCTTTTCCCCCATATAATAGGATGGAGGAAGTATAAATCCCATATCGACATATTGTTTAACCAACATATTTTGCAGGAGATATAGGAAGCAGAATGACGAGTAGTACAGAGAGTTGTTCGAGAGAAGAAATTTTAATTGATCATATTTTATCGAGGTTAGCTGTGAAATCACTGTTGCGATTCAAATGTGTGTGCAAAAATTGGTGTGATCTCTTCAATAGCTTGAGTTTTATCAAAAAGCACTGTGATAGCCCCGGTAATCGCACCCATCCAGCGGTTTGCAAGTTCGGTGTTAACTACAACAATGAACCTGAGCCTTTAAGAAGTTTTAATTTCTACGTACTCCCGGAGAAAATATTCACCGGGATTGTCCCTTCTCCCATCAGAGGCTTTATCGTGGCGAAGGAGTTACAGATTTCCGATGTATTTATGGTCCGGTTAACGGCCTATTCATATTAGAGAAAGGACATTACTTAGAAAATGTTCGCTTTTGTTGGTGGAATCCTGCTACCAGAGAGTGTAGGCTTATTCCTAAATGGAATTTTGAGCTTCTTGATTTTTTTGACGATCACACACGGTCAGCTGGGGTAGGATTAGACCTCGTTAACAATGACTATAAGTTCATATGGATACGAGTATTTTACGATAATGATAAATATGAGGTCTATCCTCAGGCATACGCTGCTATTTATTCATTGAACGATGACTCGTGGAAGTTGTTAGACGAGCCTGATTTACCTTACGACTGCAACTTATGTGCGTCATTTACTTGCACGTATTTAGACGGACTACATTATTGGATGACTGTTACCCGGGACAGTGATAGCAACCTAACGTATGGTATTCGAACATTTGATTTTGCAACGGAATTGTTTGGGCAGAGGGAAGCACCACCTATTCCATCGGATCATTGGGGGAATTTGATGTTACGTTGTGATTCTATTGCAGCTATATCTTCTAAAGACACTGCGCGGGCTTATATATCATTTTATGATATATGGGTAATGGTCGGAGAGGATAAATGGATCAAAGTATTTACTATAAATCCTCAGGTACCAAGTCATTGGCCTCAAGGCGTTTGGGATTACGATAAGTTCATTTTTGAACTAACAGAAACTAGTAACTTGGCTTTCTATGACCATTGTACTAAACAAGTTACAAATCTTGGATTTAATCATTTTCGGCTTCTAGGCTCTAGCTTCTGTTGGTTTCTGTATTATAAGGAGAGTATAGTCCCAGTAAAGAGAAAAGAACCGTCTCCATTTGATAATACTGATTACTTTTTAGCAAAGTATCGATAAACAGCCACGAGATGTGGGTGTATGAGGATAAATTGAAAAGCTTATGAATGTGAAATCAGCGAGCGTGATAAGCCTAATTAACAAGGTGGAAGGAGATTATATGAGAACATACGTATTGTAAATATGTTTGTTGCTGGATTGTATAACTCTTCGGATAAAAAGAGTTAATTATGTCATATTCCACTCCTTTTTATGTGTTAAATCTTGTTTGATATGAATTGAAGTCTCTTATGATCAATGTATGTCAATTGCGAGTCTTTACATTTAAAATGCATGAATAGAAGCGTAGGACTTGATCTTGCTGTTACTAATTAAAAACAAACATATATATACAAATCAAAAGAAAAAAAGTTGAGTGACAATCTGAGATATTATATTTGAATTTGCGCTTGGGCTGCTTAATAGTTTTCAAGTTACATACGATGCTAGAAGCATAAAACATCATCATTTGTTACATTCTTCATCAGTATAAATGGAGTTACCATGCAGGCAGGGCGGAGCTAGAGTACTATAGCTTATAATGGGTTGGATTGGTCCAAAAATCCTATATTTGTCTTGAGAAATTTACGATTTATTAATTTAGAACCCAATAACTTACGATAGAATCAGATTCTTTTTGCACTAATTGCAGAAATTTAAATGCAAGAAAAGAATAATTCTAATCACAGCACTTGTTCGTCCTGGAATAATAGAAAAAAACCCTGTTTTCACCATGTAATCACTATCTTCTTTGTTTTATTTATTTTTTTATAAAAAGAAGATAACAGTAATTGATTGCTCCAAAATATTGAAAGGGTAACGAAAAGCCCTCTTGTTCAACAAAGAGACCATTCGCACATGTATTGTAATAGACCTCTCGCTCTAAGCAACTATACTACTATTGGCATCCCAAACTAAAAAATACAACTGAAAGTCCAATTTCAGGTCGTTATTCTGAAGATAAAGAACTCCACTCTCGGAAGGATAATATTAACCTTGCATATAACATGCACATTTAAAAATAAGTAAACGGATGAGAACTGCATTTAAAGTTTCAAACTTCAGACTCGTCACTTCAACTTCAGAACCAATGGTCTAAAGTTGATTCCTACAGAGCTAAACTTCAAAACTTCAGCTATTCTTTGAATAGGGGTCCGAAAAACAACCATTTGTGTAGTTTCCCTTTAACATGGTGTAACATTATCTGTTTTTAGACGAAGTCCACAAGGTTTTCCTCAAAATATCTCACGCCATTAGGTGTATCCTTACGTCTTAGATGTACCTTCATATTCTTTTTGGCTACCAAATTTTGAATTTATGTGAACATTACAAAATTTACATTACATGTAATATTCCTTTTGATTATTTCAGTTCAATTTTTTATTTAATTATAGGTAATTTAAAGCTTATGGAAATACTATACAAACTAGTAGTAATAATTTGTAGAATTCCAATTATAGGGATCAGAAATGGCGTTCTAGCCTTATACAAACTTATTTTTTTAGTTTTATGTCCTTTCTCTTCAGTTTTATACTAAGAGATCTGAAAAAGTCATTTTCTTTTATTCAAATAGTTAGAGATTTCATCTCCTCCCAAAATTATACTAGTGAAGGACCGATTGATAATGAAATATAACAAAATGTTTGAAGAAGAAACAGTTAAAATCATACTATAAAATTATCTGTCCCTTATGTTATTCAGTCCTTTTACCCAGTCTTTTAGCAATTTAATGGATATTATTTTTATCATCATATTGTTATAGGAACAAATTTATTGGTTATTTGCTAATTTTACGCTCATTCTCTTGTTTCCTTATTGTACGTTCAGCCTACATAAAGACTAATTTCATCAGAAATTCACTCTTTTTTGTGCCTTTTGTGATCTACATACTTTTTTCACTCTGCCTGGTTCTGTTTTTTTATAACTAACATTCATAACTGCATTCTCTTTTGTCTTTATATATTTTTTCAGTCATACGAACAAGCGCTGATCTTTCTTATTCATCTTCATGTAATAAGGTTAGTTTACCAATAGTCGACACATTTGTTAATTTTAGGCCTTTACTTCAAGTTATTTCTCAGATGATCCACCCAGCTAATAGTTATTATCTCAGAAAGTCACTTATTTTGTTGAAGAAAATTGGAATCAAGAAAAGAAGTAGTGACATTTTGAGATAACGTGTATTAGTTAAGCGATCATCTGAGAAATCTGACTCTTTGTACCATTTTTCTATAACCGAGATATTTGAATATTTGGTAGGAATTTATACAGGGAGCAGAATGACAACTAGTATCGAAAACTACTCACGAGAAGAGTCAGAGGGCGTACCGTTGCGAAGATGTTGATGATTTCAGAGGACTTTATGGTCCAGTTAATGGATTGATCCTGTTAATGAAAGGACATTATCTATGTAATGTTCGTTTTGCTTGGTGGAACCCTGCTACTAAAGAATGTAGGATTATTCCTATAGTTGAATTTGAGCTTGAACGATTCTTCGATGAGCATGATACTGTAACAGCGGTAGGGTATGATGCTGTGAGCAAAGACTACAAAGTCTTAAGTCTTCGAGTGTACACAAATGAACATAAAAGAGAGATTCATCCAAGGACATTTGGTGCTGTTTACTCGATGAACAGCGACTCCTGGAAGCACATTGAGCCTAATTTCCATTACAACGATTCCTTGTATGAGTCCCAGGACTGCACTCATATAGACGGGGTCTATTACTGGTTGTGCCTTATCAGAGACGTTGGCTATGTTATATCAACATTTGATTTCACAACGGAAACGTTTGGGCAAATGGAAGGACCACCAATTCCAAGAAATCATTGGGGGACTCTAATGATGCGCGTTGGATCTCTTGCTGCAATGTCTAGTGACCAACTGTCAGAATCTGAAACGTCTTGTTACGATGTATGGGCTATGATCGGAGAGAATAATTGGATCAAAATCAATACAGTAATTCTTCCTATGAAATGTCATTCGCCTCTTGGCATGTGGGGCTATGATAAGTACATGTTTGAATTGAATCGAGCTTACAATTTGGCGTATTATGACTCCACAGCTAAACAAACTACAAATTTTGGTTTACATATGACTGAAATATGCTCTGGTAGTGTTTATGCTATTAGTTATAAAGAGAGTTTAGTACCAATAAAGAGAGAAAATTCAATTGAGGAGGATACTGTTGAATACTTCTTGATAACGTTTTAAACATTCTTCTTGTTCGATCGCGTAGATTTGGTTTTGTTTTGTAGTCGTTCACAAAATTATTCAAACTTAGCTTTTAGATGAAGCAGTCACATTGTTAGTTAGTGAACGTATGGCACAAAAGTTTATTAAATTATGTTTATGATTTATATGAAATATATGTATGCACTTGTTTTTCCTCTAATTTACCAAATTATGAGATTTTTTTGTAAGCCTTGCGCAGATAGAAGAGAATCGATTATTGAACATCAAAGTTAATTCGGATTTCGAGAGTTTCGCAATTTATTCATATAGCATCCAAATTCAAATTACGATGTGTCTTTGTACATTTTTGTGTTGACGTGGTATCTTCAACTAGATAAATTTGTGAGATCCATATCCATTGTAGATAAACATAAGGAAAGTTAAAATGCAGGAACAGTTAAATTTTGTTTGTTGCTTATTGTTAAAGTCAATTAATGTTGCAACAAACCAAAGCTCACCATTTTATTTTTTCAACTAAACTCTTACCAAGAAATCTGCATAGGTGAAAAGGTTGAAACCTTGTGTTTTTTGTGATGTCACTGGTGATATCATTGGGAGTAGATTTTCCTATAAATACAGAGCTCTTGCTCATTTCAAATTGACCGTGTTTATACAAAATCTGTCTTTGTATAATTACTTTTTCAAATTTTAATTTATTTTTTAAATATCTCGCGATAACACTTTATCATTTATTTCTTTAGGAATATTTGCTTATATATATCATCCCTATTCTCTTCAGGGAAGAAAGCATCAAAATACATCAATTTCAAAAAAAGTCAAAATCACTTAACATATTGGAACTTTCATTTAATTATCATCCTATCATAATTCATAAGAAAAAAAGAAAAAGAGTAATTAGAGCAAATAGTTAAATTGATTATTCATATATCTTATCTATATAAATAAAAGCCGTCTAAACATAGTAGATAAACATTAAAGAGTAGATATGGGTTGGAATATATATTTTTTTATTATTAATGTGCGTATAAAGCAAAAGACTTTTTTCCATTAACACAAAATAGATGTTACATAATTTTAAATAAAACATGAATATAATTGGGATAGTGTAGCTATAGAGTCCTTTTATTAAAACCATCATATAACGGAAACTTGTATATATATATATCACTTCTTCTAATGGGATTATATTCCAATACTTGTCCTTCAATCCCTACAGGTAAAAATATAAAAACAGAAAAAAAAATGGTAATCAGCGTCTATACAATACATGTATAAAGACATTCACATTAACTTACTGTCTTAAACATGTTATGACATATTGCTATCGGATCGAGCATATGACTGAATGTAAAAATGAAAAATGTGTCATATTGAACAATATTAACGATATGTGTTATATAGCACAAGAAGACGTTACTTGGAGCAATCAACGTTAGGGTCGATAGATATGTAGTCAAGGTTGCATAAGGCAGGGAACTTTGCTGCTTTCTGAAGATCTATAGGTAAAGTTTGTGCAGCATTCTTGAGACATAAGCAGATGGCTTCGCGATCAGAGCAACCAGACTCATGAAATTGCTTGTCAATAATTTGTGCTCCACTGCAACATGCAGTATTAGGGGAATCGTTTCCACTCATTAAGAACCCTTGGCATGGTATCAATAAATTTGAATTCACATCATCGCATAGAGCGTCTGCATTTGCTAAAGCAAAATAAATGGATATCAAAATAAGTACGAGTAAAGAGTAAGTAGGAATTGTGATAGTACTTGACATCTTTCTTTTGAATTTTGAAAGAGCTAAATAAGTGAACGAAATATGTAAAGGAGAAAGGTATATGAAGTAAGGGAAAAATTTGGATGTTAATTTATAGTGCTTTAAGGCATGGTCAATTTGTCATTTTACTCATCTATATAACCAACTTTATGATTTAATTTTTTTATCATTTTCCTCGTGAAATTATATTTTCTATTTTTAGTATGACTTTGAAAATTATTGATAAATAATGACTTTTGTAATATCTACTTATTGGGGGTTAAGGATTAGAATACTCCTTTACTTTCGTTTAATTTATTAGTTAACTATGTTCTTTATATTATTGGGTTAGATATATCAGCCTATGAAAAAATTTAAAAATATGCCCCTAATTTGAATAAAATCTAAAGGAAAAATGCACTAGTACCCCCTCAATCTATGTCCGAAATCTCAGAGACACACTTATACTATATTAAGGTCCTATTACCCTCCTGAACTTATTTTATAAGTAATTTTCTACCCTTTTTGGTCTACGTGGCACTAGTTTGAAAAAAAAGTCAACCATCATTGGGCCCACAAGATAGTGTCACGTAGGTCGAAAAGGAGTAAAAAATTATTAATAAAATAAGTTCAGGGGTAATAGGACCTTAGTATAGTATAAATTTGTCTCTGAGATTTCAGACATAGGTTGAAGGGGTACTTGGGCATTATCCCAAATCTAAATAATTCATTCCATTCTTTTAAGGAAAAATAACTTAAATACACAACTATAATTTTTATATTCTCTAATTTTCCTTACCTTTTTTAAATATTACATAAATTCCCTTTTTTTTATTTTAGTGTAAGTTTTTAGATACATTACATTCTCTCTCCTATAATACACATTTACCCATTTTAATGGCTATTTTTTCTCCATTAAAAGACTCAACCTCTTAAATCAGTTTTTGAATTTTAAATTTTATCCATTTAAACACTCAACCTTTTAATCAGCTTTTTGATTTTGAATTATTAAATTTAATTAATTTTAAATAAAACACCTAGTTAGCTCATTAACACCATTCCCTTGGTTGTCACCAAATGTACCAATAAGAAGATTAACAGTGAATATGTTTCCCTGAATACCAGTGCGTTCCAGAGCCGGTTCGGAAGAGAAGATTTGGAGAGGATGAGAAGGATACGGTTGTAAGTGAAGCAGTCATGGCGGAATTTAGGGATTTCAGAGGGGCAAAATCGGAAGAAGCAAAGAGCAAGGTGAGAAAAGAAGCTGCAACCATTGTTGTTGAAATTAATAAAAATTTTAGTAAAGGAATCCCATATGTATCATGAATTTTTGAAAATTGTTATCATGTATCAGACAATAAGTTTAATACATAAGTACTCAGTGTGTTATAGTGTGTTAGTTGATGCATTGATACATGAATTAGATGTTTATCATATGATTTTCTATGTATCAAGAGTTTTTGAAAATTGTTATCATGTATCAGTCAATAAGTTTAATAACTACGCCATCAAGTGTGCTTGCTGATACATATCGACTCAGTGTATTATAGTGTTTAGACGATGCATGATTACATTTATATTTTATATTTGAACATCTATAATAGATATACTTATACGTATTGTGTTTTAAGTTTTACTTAGTAGAAAATATATTCCAAATAACCAAACCAAATGCACCCCTAAAAATTAGAAGTCCTTTTTGATTAAGTTTGTTATTATAAATAAAAATAAAATAAAGAGTCCTCCTGTTGTTAGGATTGTTTAGTTATAAATAAAGAGACATCATAGCAATATGATTAATCATGGCGGCATCATTCTACGATGATCATGTTCAGAGTCAGAAAGAGAAGATTTACGCCCTTTATGAACTTCGACAGGAATTAGAAAATTCCAATGGAAGGAAGATATCTGATGAACTTCGACAGGAATTAGAGAAAGACAAGAGTCATGCACTTGAAGAATTAGAGAAAAACAAGATTCATGCAAATCGAAAGAAAATATCAAATCGATACGACTCAAAAGAGTTGAAGCGTAATACTATCATATACCTATTTATTTCTTTTACTTTATGTTTCTTTGCTTTTACATATTTTTTCGTTTTAAAGTAAGTGATATTATTTATCTATATTTGTGACAATGCCTTTCTATACTTGTTCTATTCATTTATCATCTTCAACTAATTACTACTATTATCATGTTTTATTATATATCTTGATGTATTTTTTTTTTTAACAATCGTGCTTACAAATACACTAGCACTTGACATTACCAGTGTTTTGCATCCATATTTAATACATAATCTATAATAACTTTTAGTATTTTTCTTAAATTATTCTTTATTTATTCAAGTTTGATAAAATTGTAATTGTAATACTAATAATTTCTTGCCGATTTTATTAATTACGTTGTAGGTTTTAGGTTTAGAACTCTTTTAAATACAAAGGTTTTAGGTTTAGGACTCTTTTACGTACATACAAAAACTAATAAAAATTTTGGGACCGGAAATTTTTATTTCACTTTGTAATTCATACGTTTCATTTTCAATAGGTATCTATTAGAATCCTAAGGCTAATGTGAATTCTAAACTAGAAAAGACGTATTTAATGACTAAACATTATTAGTGTTTACGACCACAATTTTATCAACTTAAATAAATATATATACTAGTATTAAATTTTTTACTTATTTGCAACATAATTCATAAGAACTCCTTATATTTTAGTACTTTACAATTGATTAAGTTTTTATTTCTTAAACATTTCATTATTTGAACTAAATTAAAACTCATAACATTTAAAACTTTAAAATCAATATTTTTGTCTTATATAAACCTTATTTAAATTATGCTAAACAAGATAAATAAATAAAACAACTGAAAATATTTAAGAAAGTGGTTCACGTTTTTTAAGTTTTTTTTTTTTTAAACTTTTCTATACGAAATTCTGATCACTCGATGAATATAATATTTATTTTAACATCAGTTGCTATTTTTAAAATATTTTTTGTTCTTTTTTTTTCAAATTTAAAGTATACAATATATGAGATTGGACAGAGAGAAGATACCTTCATATATAATTACCTTAATTTATGAGATTGTTTTTTTTTCTTCATTTTTGCAAGTAATATTACCGTTCATTTGGTCATCTATCTATCATTTATATTTTCCATCCTATATTAAAAGTACGAAAATTCTTAAAATGTTACTTGTACTATTATTTTAAATTTTTAATGATGTTAAATATTTATAATAATAAACATTACATAAAAATTAAATAAAGAAAATTTCTTTTTATTATAATTAAATTCTTACGAGAAAAATAGGTAAAAGATATCGTCCAAAAAAATAGCTAAAACAATTAAAATTAAGTAGTTTTCTTTTACTAGACTTCTAAAATATACGTAAAGAAAATATAAGTAATTGAAGAGTCACTTTAGAATTAGGATTTTTTAAAATTAATTTTCGAAAGAAAAAAATAAGTAATTGAAGAGTCAATCTAGGATTAGGATATTTTTAACTGATTTTCGGATGCCAAATACAATATAGAAGGTTCTGGATTAGGTTGGTTTTTTGTATAAATAAAAGGGGAGGGATAGTAGCAATATTATTATATTTTTTAACCTTTGCCTTATTTTATTAGCTTTATTTTAAAGGATTTGAAAACAAGAAAAAATGTAATTATAATTTTTAGTCAGTTTTATTATTATTATTATTATTATTATTATTATTATTATTGTTTCAATTGTTCAAAAAATAAATTTATAAAAAGATTATACGTTCTATTTTTAATTTTGTTTAATAAATAAGCAATGTTTTTCTTATAAAAAATCAACACACACACGAAACACACATCATTCTTGAAAAAAGACCAAAAATCCACACAATATCAAAATACAAACACAAGGAAAAAGAAGAAGAAAAAATCAGCTTACTACTAGAAAATTCACCTATCACATTATATATATAATTTTCTATCGCTCACACATAAAAGTTGAGGTCAAAGGTGCATTTTCGTGATTCCAATATTATGAAGTTGCTCAAATTTAAGTATGTTAATTTTGGATTTTTGACATTATAATATGAAATATGTTAGAGAATTTTTATATTATTAAATTTAGTGAAAAAAATTGTATAGCATGTGATTATTTCTTGCGTGCTTAAAAGTTTATTATTTTTTTAGGATAATGCACAAGTACCCTCTCAATTTATGTCCAAAATTTCAGAGACATATTTATATTATATTAAGGTCGTATACCTCTGAACTTATTTTATTAATAATTTTTTACCCGCCTACGTGCCACTATTATTAATAAAATAAGTTCAAGGGGTAATAGGACTTTAATATAGTATAAGTGTGTCTCTGAGAGGTTGAAGGGATACGTGTGCATTTTCCCTTATTTTTTTAAACTTGTTCTTTAAACTTAATGTTGTAATTAATTGATATTCGTATGAGATTTAATTATAATGAGTTAAGTTACTTTTACACCTTGTTTGCATAATAATATTGTGTACTTTTTTTTAAGAAACATAAAAAAAATATCAAATTGCAAAGTTTTTTGCATTTCATTTGGAAAGAGAACATGAAGATTCTGGGAGACAAGATTCATACACAGAGACAAAAGATGCGACATGATATAGATATTTTTTTCTTTTCAAAATAAGTGACATTATACTTGAAAATCAGTAGGATAGTCTTTAGGATATTTGTGTATTGCATCTCTAATACATCTCTCTTGTTCTTGGAGATTAGGTGTCATTTTTTCATACACATCACTAAACAATTCTGTCAATGCAGGCTTCTCCATTCCTTCTGCTGTTTTAATTGCCTCTAATACCTGAAATATTCATTTCAATTTTCACAACTTTTGATTGATAAATTTAATGGTCTAATTTTTGTACCTGGTTCTTGACATGTGTGTAGAGTTCAGATTCTTGAACGTCACTCCACCAACCATTTCTTTGAATATGTTTTCTGAATAGGTTAATGGGGCATCTGGCCGTTTTCCAGTATTCTATTTCATTTGTTGGACGATACTTTGTGGAATCATCAGAAGTCGAATGGTGTCCTACTCGATACGTCATTGCCTGACATTTTTTCACCAAATATAAGGACAAGTACAAATTTGTTACCTTTGCATT